CAGCGCTTGCGTGGTTTATTCCCTCCTCGGCCCTCAATGCTCGGGCCGCTTCCGCCTGAAAGGTCGCGACCGACTTGCCCGGCGTGGCGCGCGCGAAACGCTTTGTTCGCGGCGTCGAGGCTTCATTCGCGCGAACAACAGACATCGCGCCCCGACGTCGGAGGATCAACTCGACATCGCGCGTGGCGTCATTACGTTTTTCGGTTCTGATTTGCCGCGCGGGGCCCGACCGCGCCGCCGCGCGGCCACGCGGCCGCGCGTCGCCGCGCGACAGCTGCGCAGATAGCAGACAAAGTGCGTTTGTTTCGGCGCCGGCATCGGTTGCCCTTGCTCTGCTAGCTAAGCCGCGCGCGAGAAGCACCGCAACGTCAGGCGCGCTTTTTTGTCTTTCCAAGAAAAATGGAAGGGTGATGCTGTAATACTGCTTGCTTTCGACGCGGCGTTTGGTTGTCAAGGTGGCGCAAAATATGTTCGCCGAGCAGGCGCGGCAAAGTCGCTTGTCCGCGGCGCTGTCTCGCGGCGCCTGCGACCCCGAAAAGGAGTCTTGGGCCGCGCAGCGGCCTTCGTACCTGAGGATCGGCGGGACTACGGCGATGCGCCATGTCACGGACGACCTCTCCAAGGTCCAGAGGTGCGGGAGATGGGCGTCGGACTCGTTCCACGCCTACTTCTGGGAGTCACACGAGCCGCGGCGCGATGTAGCTCGGCGCATGGCGAACGACCGCTCGGAGTTGACGACGCCCGCGGCGAAGCCTCAGGAGGGGGCCGCCGGCGGCAGCGCCAGGCGAGCTTCGCCCGGAGGCTTTCCGGCTCTCGGAGCCGCAGCCGCGGCTGCGGCCACGCCGGGGTAGGCGACGGCGACAGGCCAGGAGTTGACGACGGCGAAGGAGGACCAGGGGCACGTCAGCGCGCGCCTGGTCGAGGACCGGGGGGGGCGTCATCATCGCGATCCCTATGGAGGTCATGGTGAAGCTCATCGTCTCCCTGGTGGTGGTGCTGGCCATGGCTTTGGCAATGGCCTGGCACTGCTGGCGCGGCCCGAGGCAGGGCCGCCGGCCCCGGGGCTCGCGCGGAATGCCGGGGGGAGTGGCGGAGGGCAATCGGAAGCCACCAAGGAAGCCAAAGGTGATCTACTGCGACGCGGGGGCCCAGGGGCCGGCGCGCTACAACGGCGCCCGCTGCCTCCGCGAGAACCAGGGGTTCCAGCGCGGGGATGAGGTCACGCGAGAGGTGGCTGCCAAGCCGCATCGCGGCTGACTGGCGACGCCGCCGGCCAAGGGCCTGGCGAGCGAGAGAGGTGGAGAGAGGCGTCAACCGCCGGCCCCGGCCTGGCGCGCGGAGCCCGCGCCGGCGCTCTGCGCCGGGCGCGGCGTTTCAAGCGCCCGCGGGCAGCGGTGCGATCGCGGGCGGCGGGGCGCTGGGGCGGCGGCGGCTGGGCGCCCGAGGGCAGCTGGCGCCGCGCTGGAGCCCGCAGCCGGCCAGCCCTGCGGGCTTTCCCACGGCAGGCCTGGGCTTTCCCACGGCAGGCTTGGCGCAGAATTCGCAACTGCAGCGCCGTCGCGACGGGGGCGGCGGCGCTGGCTTTGGGAGCGGCCGGCGGCGCACGCAGTGCGCGCCGCCTGGTCGCGACCCGCGCGGGTGCCACGCAGGTGCCGTCGCGCGAAGAACCCCCGGGCGCGCCGGCGGCCTGCTGCCGCAGGCTGCCCTGCGCCCCCGGACCACAGCAGGGGGTGCGCCAGCAGCGACCGCTGCCAGGCGCGCCCAGGAGGTGGCGGCAGAGCCCGCTCGCGCGTGGCGGAAGGTGGAGCGTGCGGCAGTGTACGCACACGCATCGGCCAAATCCCCTTCTTCCCCATCTGAGTCATCATCCTTTTCGGTAGTGCGTTGCTGCTGGTAGGGATAGCTATTGCTTGGTTTAAACACTAGGCTCTCCCTGGCCCCAGGAATGCAGGGGCTTGTTTTCTCCTGTCCTTTTCCCTTCCTCTTCGCTTTCCCCTCCTCTTTGCTTGTCCCCGCTCAAGCTCTCTGGGTCAAGCTGGCCCACCCTGGGACCCAAAGGGGTCCTGCCTGCCCTGTGTTTAGGCTCTGCCGTCGGCCCGACATCTGATCGGGCGGCGGCAGAGCCCGCTAGCGCGTGGCGGAAGGTGGAGCGTGCGGCAGTGTGCGCGCACGCATCGGCGAAATCCCCTTCTTCCCCATCTGAATCATCATCCTTTTCGGTCGTGCGTTACTGCTGTTAGGGATAGCGGCTCCAGCGGCCCCGACCCTTTCCGCGTCGAGAGCAAGTTTCTATCCAGGACCCACGTTTGATTATTTTTTGCCCCGAGACTGCCCTCCGAGCGTTTGGATTGGAAAATCAGTCCGCAAGGTGTAGAGGTCTGGGGGGCAGTGCTTGAGCTAAAAACAGTTTTCGCGATTTCGTGGACTGTTTTCGTTTTCGTTACCTTTCGCAGCAAAGGCAAAACGAAGCCAGAACGAAGGATAACGACAACATAACGAAAACGAGCAACACTGTTTAGGTCGATCCCTGCTGTTCCGCAGCTGGAGCCCTGGAGCGCGCCAGAAGCGGGAGC